GAACTCCCAGAAGAGGAGATTTGGAGCTTACACAGAGCAACTGGCACATCTGCTTCACCTCCCCTCTGGAAGGAGAGAAGAGGAGGAAGTGACCTTTCTTCTCTAACATACGCTCATGGGAAGGGAGTTTTATAACCCCTGACGAAAAGCAAGGGAAAAGGAAAGTTGTTTTATTACTTTGAGAATATGAGCACATGGCTCCATGGAACATATGTTTGTTTCTGTTCTTTTCTTTTTTTTTTAAGTGAAGCTTTCACTATGTAGTTCAGGCTGTCCTTGAACTCACTTTGTAGCCCAGGTTAGCCTCAAACTCATGGGAATCCTCCCCATCTCAGCCTCCCCAGTACTGGGATTACAGGCATGCACTACCACGCCTGGCCTGTTTCTAAAACTCTGTACTCAGCACTTCTCTATCTGGGATTCCAAAACATATTTGTTATCCATCATAAAGCCCACTATGTAAAAAGGAGAAACTAGGGAGACTTCATTATCATTCAACAGGGGAAAAAAAGATTAGGATTATACCCATATGGTTTAGTTAATTCTTAGAAACCAACACATACTGCCTGACATAGTGGGGAATTGACACAGGTTTTCTGAATGAATGAAATAGGTTTCAGGGGAGATCCAGCCAGTGAAACACTGTTTTGTGTGGGTCGTATCTTCTTTAATTCCCTACCAAAGGATTTCTCAAATTTGAGCTCTTGAAATTCCAAGATGTATCCGCATTGGTGTGAGGAAGCCCCAAGGGTACCAACGGGAATTTTGTGTCTGTCTCTGGTTATGAGGTGGCTGTCCACAGAGGGGCAGTACAGTGTAGTGCTTTAAAATGCAGGTCTTAGCTGGTAATCACACTGCTTATGTTCTTATTTCTTAGAATATAAAAAAGATAAAGTTTCCAAATTTGATAGAGGAATTGTAGACTTCCAGAACAATTTTATTTGTTTATTTGTTTGTTTATTTATTTATTTGGTGGAAACAGGGATTGAACTCAGGCCCTTGTGCTTGCCAGGCAAGTGCTTATTCTACTGAGCCATCTCCCCAGCGCTCATATTTTGTTTTAAATTGGGGAAGTTGCATTATCTTTTTACTAGTTATCCGGAAAGCTTCTACTTGCCATTTTCTATATCTTGGATGGAAAATATAATTTTCCATGCAGGACTAAAATAAGATACATGTGTATATTCTGTTTAGCTGTGTTTTTTGGCCTCTAGTTTTTTGTTTAAAAGATTTTTCTTATGATTCAAAAAGACTTTTTATTTTGAAATGATAAACTGCTCCATGTTTTCTTCTAGTACTTTTATTATTACATTCTTCACATTTAATTTTTGGCTCCCTTGGAATTTATTTTGGTATAAGGTGTGAAGTACGATTCCAGTTTTATTTTTCTCCAGATGGCTACCTAGTCATGTGAAATGCCACCTTTGTATTTAGAATTTTTGAATGCTACAGAAGACTTAGGATATTTTTGCTCGGCTTTGACTGGCAAGGTCTTCATATGTACTTTTAAACTCTCCTAGGATTTGTTATTGTTGTTAAACATTTTTAAAGTTGATTCTACTCTCAATATATCCCAACAAGATTTGATCTTCACTTCATGAATTTGTCATTACTGTACCAAGCTCATTTCAGTTTAAGTGTACTGCACACAGCCTTCAAATATTATGAACATTTCTCTCTCCCAGCTGTCACTACACCAAACTACATATGCCAGATTTCCCTAAATCATCTCGTTGTGCTCTTTGCTGCTCTGCACTCTGTTGATGTCTTCATCTAACAAGTTGCTCAAAAGTTACTATAATTACTTCAGGTGAGGCCTCAGAGTGAGCCTGGAGTCCCTGTTCTGTTCCTCCCCAAATGGGCATTCCCTTCCGGCTAACACAAGGGACAGGCTGTGTTTCAGGAAAATAACAGATTTTGGAAAGCTGTGGTAGTTATTATTTGTTGACCCTTCAAGCAATCCACCTGGAGAGGGGGGCAGTCCTCCAAGATGCCAGCTGTGATTGTGGGAAGCTTTTGCTATTTATCCCATCCAAATGATTCAGAAGGAAAAGGCTCATCCTGTATTAGGTCTTGAACCCAAAGAACTGTTTGCACAGATGTTCAGCCAAGATGCTTCGCAGCCTCCACCTCAACAGATGCTCTCTGAACACATTTCATGGCTCTCAGCAGCGGTCCCCACTGAACCGGAGGAAGAGGCCACCGAGATGGCTGTGCTGCCAAAGGCGGGCCTAAAATTCCTATTTAAAAGCAGAACCAGGTTGGGGAGTGCTGGCCTCAGAATCCTGGGCATGCTGTGCCAGCCACCAAAACCGGGCATGGTGGCACACGCCTGTAATGACAGCACTGGGGAGGCTGAGACAGGAGAATCACTATGAGTCTAAGCTATGTAGCCATGACCTTGTACCAAATTAATTAATTCATTAATTAAAAGAAAAATAAAAGCAGAACCAAAATATGTTTGGCTTCTGTTGTCTAAAACTTCAAGTGACCAGCGTTGTAGCTCAGCAGCACCGTGCCTGCCTGGTACCAAAAAGTGACAGACAGGAGATGGCGAATAGGAAGAAAGTCACCAGAACAGAGGAAAATTGGGAACACAAAGGTAGGAAGCCAGATGCGGAAAGTTTTGAGTGGGAGGGGGCATAAGAACCCCATATTCCACCTTCTGACCCCCACTGAGATAAGTATCTGCACGGTCACCTCTACCCTGCTGAGCCACCCCTGCTCAGCCCTCCGAGTACTCTCCCTGACCTCTGCACCTCCCTCAGCTCGGGGAACGTGCCAGCACTCTTCCCTATCCGACCCTTGTCCCCAGCATCCTTCTGTCAAAGCACCGCTCAGTCCCAGCGTGCCAAGACAGGAGCATCCTTTGCCCTTCCCGGTTGCCCCCTGGGTTTTTGCTCCGCCCCCTCGGCCCCAAAACACGCCCCTCACCCTTCCAGCCACGCCCTCAAACACGCCCACAGCGGCCCCGCCCCTCACTCTTCGCCCCGCCTACCCGAGGGAAGCGCCGCCTCCCTTCTCTTTTGGCGCCAAACCCTTGGGTCCGCGACGCGCGGGTAACCATCTTCAGCATTCTGGTCAGAGTTAGAATCCTGAGGACTGAAAAGCCCCAACGGGACTTGGGGTGTGTGAGGGAAGGGAGGTAATGGGCTCACCTTGAAAATCTGGAGAAAAGTGTGGATTGAAGGGGACTGGCAAAAAGGGAGGGCAGGCCTGAGGTGAAAGAGGTGAGGAGACATGCACTCGGTCCTGTCACCTTCGCGGTGGTCGCCACCGCCCGGGTTGGGGACTTGGTGCGTTCCGCCCCTACCCCCGCCTCCCGCCCGAACAACTGGGTCCTCGGTGTTGGAGGCATCGTCGTCCTCAGGTGGGAATTTGGGCGGGAAAATGCGGTTGGCCGCGGGAACCGGCCCGGCCTCCTGCGGGGCGGGAGGAGCGTGGGCCACCCCCAGAGCCCTTTGAGGGACAGGAGGGCGCAGGTCTGGCTCGCGCGGTCTCCTCGCTTGGCCCCGGCTCTGCTGCCTCAGTACCTCTGGACTTTGGTATTAAATGAGGAGATGGAAGAGGCCAAGAAAGATTATGTGGGCCACATTTTATTGTAATGAATGAATGTGGTTTCCTGGAATTTATTTATTTATTTATTTCCGGAACCGGGGATTGAACTCCGGTCCTTGCGCTTGCCAGGGAGGTGCTTATTCCACTGAGCCATCTCCCTGGCCCCGTTCCCTGGGATTTAAAAAGAACATCTTTTTCTACAATGTTAAAAACTATTAAAAAAAAAAAAAACTATTTAGCTGCCCCCAGTACTAAATTACACTGTTGGGTATCCACCATATTTTTACAAATGCATGAAACTAAGTAAATAGGTATAACAAAGAGTAACTACTCTTTTTTTTTTTAGCTTTTTTAAAAAATGTTTTAGTACAGGGGATACAGGGGCTCACTACATAGCTCAGACTCGTAGCGATCCTCCTGTTTTCAGCCTCCCAAGTGCTGGGATTGCAGGCAGGGTGCCACCACGCCCAGTCTCAATCAAAGACTCAGCACACCACAGGGGCAGTGCCGGCCCTGCACACCGGGGATTGAACCCTGGCCGCTGCTCTCTGCCTAAACAGGTGCTTTAGTCTTCTAAGCTATCGGGCCAGCCCTGATTTTGTTTTTATTTTATTTTATTTTTTTAGACAGAGTCTCACCTTGTAGCTCAGGCTGGCCTTGAACTCATTATAGCAATCCTGCCTCAGTCTCAGGAGTGCTGGAATAAAGGTGAATGCCACCATGTCTGGCACCCTGGCACATCTCATATGATAATCTCTTTTTCTTTTTCTTTTTTTTTCCTCAGTACTGAGGTTTGAACTCTGGACCTTGCACTTGCCAGGCAGGTGCTTATGCTGCTGAGCTACATCCCCAACCCCACATCTCTTATGAAACAAAGATATTGCCATGTTACCAGAGCAACTATTCACAATCAGCAGCAAGAAAGCATTTGTCATATATGAGAAAAATAAAACTTATTCATTAGGGGTGGACTAAATTTGAGTTGCCATGCTAGATACAGGAAGAACAATAAAATGTCAGGATTCTTAAGGTGTTGTTAAGCATAAACATAATAGCAAAATGTAATAGCAATAAGTAATTCTAAATGACATTACAAGGAAGCAATAGATACTTTCCCAGTCATAATTAACTGCAATAGAAAATTAGAACATAAAAATGAGGAAAGAGAAAAAACTAAACCTCTCTGCCTTCCACTACACACACACACACACACACACACACACACACACACACACACACAAATGTTACAAACCCTGCAGAAGAAAGATAGATCAACCTAATATTTCTAAGCAGTGTTCCTTTTATTGTCCTGGTCATTGGTGACTTTGAAGTGAACTCAGAGGCTGCTAGGCAAATAAGTTTTATTATATGAAGGGTAACTGTTTCTTAAATATTTCTTATTTTCCCAGAATTGGTTATTTTACTGCTGCTCCCCTTTCAATATGAAGGAGGATCAGATAGTGCAGGAAGAATCAGGATTCCAAGATGAAGAGGTAAGACTAGAATGTGGAAAGATATGTAGACATTCAGTCATTCCATAAAAATCAAGTTTCTTGTCTGCCAACTATTATTTTTAGAAGTTGGAAGTAGAAATAGGCATAATTTACAAATATATAACAATTTCTTTGGCAAGAAATGCTAAGATTAGCTATATAGCAACTGTTTTAAAAAAAATTTTGGAGGGTTTTGTGAATGCTAGGAAAACTCTCCATCACTGAGCTATACCCAAGCCTGGTAGCGAAGTATTTTAATAACATAACTGGTTATAGCATCCTAATACCAAGAAGCAGCCTTGTGCTAGAAGGTGACCAAGATTTGGAGGGTAGAAAAAATGAGAAAAATATTTTAAATAGATCAGGTGGTGTTCTACTGTTTTGGATAAATGTTTTAAAGATTTAAAGAACCCAAGGCAAAGATAATAGGCTTCTGAAACCTTTTAATGTATAAATTATAAATATGTAATATTTATGTAGTATATGATTTATAAATATGTAATAATGTGAATAAAACATTGCTCCCACCTCAGTCTACCTAGAGAAGTAGAGTTTGAGGTATGACTTATAGTATTTTTTTTTTTTTTTTCGGAACCGGGGATTGCACTCAGGCCCTTGTGCTTGCCAGGGAAGCACTTATACCACTGAGCCATCTCCCCAGCCCTGACTTATAGTATTAACTCTTTAAAAATTATGAAACATTTGAATACAAAGAACCAAAACTCCACTTTTTTCCATTTCACCTCCTTTAGGAATCTCTGTTTCAAGACATTGACCTATTACAGAAACACGGAATTGTGAGTAGTTTTTCGATATGTGTTAAATTGTTCAATTCACCAGTTTCTCAGTATTAGCATCACTTAAACCTGGATATTGCTTTGTTTCGGGACCTGCACTGTGCATTATAAGGTGCCTAAAAGTATCCTGGTATTCCAGAAAGACTTTGTCCCATTGTGTGAGAATTGGCTCCACCAGGGCCTGAGACTGGAAAAAAGAGGCAGACACATCCAGAATTACACAGAGCACAAACTATTAGAGAACTTACTGATGGAAAGGTGGTCCCAAGTGGTAGCAAGACCAAGTGGATGCCCTCAGTTTGGGTCAGAGGGAGGGTCGTATATATTAGGACAAAAGAGATATCATCCAAGCCAGAATATACCTGCTTTCTTGCTCATTTATTTATTCATTCATTTATAGACAAGGCCTTTCTATGCAGTTCACACTGACCTTGAACTCATTATGTAGTCCAGGCTGGCGTCAAACTTGTGGTGATTCTCCTGCCTTAGCTTTCCAAATGCTGGATTGTAGGCATGTGCCACCACACCTGGCTGTGCCTGCTTTATCCTAATTTAATACCGAAGAACGAGGTACATTCTAGATTCTACTGGTAAAGTTCCACCATAACACTAATGGTTTGGTCTACTTCTGGGATCCTGATACACTATGCAGGAAATAATTAGTATTGCTTTGGGGAAGTCATGACAGTTATGACTCGAGATGGTGGTAAAGTTGAACTGTATCCATGCAACTGGCTTCTGTTCATTCATTACTTGCTAGTAGCAGCCTTCCAGCTTAGACAATCAAGAATGTCACCAGAGGGGCCGGGGAGATGGCTCAGTAGGATAAGCGCTTGACCAGCAAACGCAAGGATATGAGTTCAATCCCTGGTTCCGCCAAAAAAAAAAAAAAAAAAAGAATGTCACCAGACACTATCAGATGTACCTGGGGTCAAAATTGTTCCTGATAAGAACCACTGATCCAGGTGGAATTGCTCAGCACTAGTTACGAATTCATTCTTCTTGTCCAGATAGATCTACTGTCTTCATTAAAAGAAAAGCAGGGGGCCTGCACATTAGCTCAGTTGTTTAAGTGCCTGCTTAAATAGAGCAGTGAGGCTCAGGATGCGGTGGTTCAATCCCCAGA